GAAATGACTAGACAAGTGTGCTGTCGTCATCAAAGCAATATATTACATTCTTGGTTTTTTCCAAGAATTGGATATACGTTGATATACAATAAAAAGAGGGTTGGCTGAAGTCCAAAGAAAGGAAAAAATTCCAAAATAAGTTCTTAACAAAGATATGTACATCTTGCAAAAAAGTAACATGTGGGTATCTTCTAAAGATTTCATGTGTATGGAGATGACACTATATGAGCTATATAAATCAATGTTTTTGGCTAAAGTTTGAAAAACATTTCAGAGAAGAATTGGAGCAATTGGAATATTTACCATGATCCTCAGCTATTTCATTTATTATTATTTTTCAAGGTGCTGGAAGAGTACCTCACGCTGCAGATATACATTATATGTGGGAAGATGTCTCCAATTCTGATCTTAGCAAATTTCCTGAGGAAGATGTATTAACGCTCCACCGTTTCGTTAGGATGTGGACCAACTTCATAAAATATTTGTGAGTAATAAAAAATATGAATATTTTCACCATCTTTGGTACATATGAAGTGGGGATTATTCGATCAATGAATGTCATAACTTTGAAAAAAACGATATGCATGTTGGATTATGTTCATATTTTTATTCACACTTAGAGAACATAGTATGCTTACATGATCAGATTCCTATTGTTATCTCATACTCGAAGTTACTTTCAGAAACCATTAGCTTTTTAATATTAGAGTACGTTTATAAACGTTACAAAAAGTGGAATCATTGTACTCAAAGTTTTGCGAACACAATCCTTTTTTCGTACAGTATTTAAGAAGTTGAATACTTTGAAGACTTCTACATAGAATAATAGTTGTTATATAATATGCTTTCATTCTATGATTTTGCTTTTTCAGAAATCCAACACCAGAGAAAGATCCACTCTTGGATAATTTCCTATGGCCTACAACAAATAGTAATAATCTGCTCTATTTCAACTTCAACGACACTCTAGAAGTGAGGGAATATCCTAGGCAATACAAAAATGTCAAGGCAATTTTAGACAATTACATGATACCTCCATATGACTACTACTAAAAATAAATTATGATACTCTGAAATGAAAAATATACATCTTTACAGTTGTTCTCCAAACCACCTATCATTGTAATGACCCAACACTTACTACATCGATTGCAAACACACATTTCACTGTTCTGAAACATGTTTTGTAGATGCTTGGCAGTTTATTTGCATAGGTTCAATTCAATATAAAAATATTCGTTTGACATTAATATATTTTTGACTTGTTCCACCCACTTGCCTATTTCTTCAAGTTACCTTCAATTGTTTTCTTTCGTGAGTAAGCATTGAATCTAAGCACCCCCTCTTTTTATCTCAGGATAATATCTCGGTCAACAATATCTCAGCCAGAAATATCGTTGTATGAAACATATCAAGCAAATTACATCTCAAGACTGAAACATTTCGAACCGAATACGCAAAACGCCAAAATTAAAAAAATTCTGTATAAATTTTTCGTTCTGAGCCACTGTGACTTCACTGTTGAGATAGTTTCGTCTTAGATATTTGTAGTTGTTGAAAGGCTCAGCAAATTGAAATACCCTTCAGTCTGCAAATCGTTATATTCATTGACGATAAAATCAAAAGACTACATGGAAGATGCCTTAATTGTGCTATTATTGAATCATATCCGTGTTAGGAATCACACTTTGAAAGGTAAGATCTCGTTAGTCCTTAGCTCGCACAAGTTTCTCAACTTCTGAGAGTTGTCGTTCGTTTGGGGGCGACAGCTGATTAACGGAAAAACAGATTTTAAACAGATTTTTTGAACAGA